CCAAATTTTGGTATCATCAGCAAATTTAAACAGGTTGCTTTTCACCCTGTTGTCCAAATCGCTGATGAAGAAATTGAACAGCGCAGGCCCAAGGACCGAGCCCTGGGGGACTCCACTGCCCACTTCCCCCCAGGTTGAATATGACCCGTCCACCACCACCCTCTGAGTACGACCTTTGAGCCAATCTGCAATCCATCTGACTGTGTAGGCATCAATGCCACAGTCGCCTAGTTTTTTTAATGAGGATGGGGTGGGAGACAGTGTCAAAGGCCTTGATGAAGTCTAGAAAGACTACGTCCACGGTGACACCTGCATCCATTGTCCTTGTGACCTGATCATAAAAGGCAATCAGGTTGGTCTGACATGACCTGCCCCTAATGAAACCATGCTGAAACCAGACATGAGGGACCTGAAAAGGGGTATGGAAGGGAGAGGAAGAAATGGATGAGGGCAAGAAGGGGAAAATGAAAGGGCACGTGAGATTTTCTTTATCTATCATCTCTGGAGACTGTAGGGGGGAAAGGGACAGAAAAGCCCACCCCCGGCCCCCACAAAAAAAGTGGTCTAGAAGCCTAAGTCACACTACTGAGACAGCATGTTTCCTTGCATTTGGAAGGCAGAGGAAGTGGCCTTTGTACACATCCTGATCCACAGTGGAGACACAGTGAGTTTTGAGAGCCGCAAGAAGGTGCTGGTGGGGGACCGGAAAGAGAAGCTCCTCATAGAAATGGAAAAGCCCTTCTACAAACCTGGGGAGACAGGTATGAGCAATGGGACAGGCAGGACCAAGAAGAGGGGATGTGGTAGCTGTCCTTGTCTGGGGATGGTTCCTGTGAGATGCAAGCCCACCCCACCTTGCAGGTGAAAGTCAGATCCATTAGTCACCAGGCGCAGAAGGAAGCCTATGGGTGGAGGGCACTTTCTTTTCTGAACCATTGGTGACCCTATCATCCCCACATGCTGCTCAGGAGTACTGCACCTGTAGAACTACCTTTTGAATAAGACCTGAAATCAAGGCCAGGACTCACTGCTCCTTGGGTCTCTGAAAAATCCCTGTCAAATTTGGAAAGAATATTGCTCATTTGACAGCAGAGCCCCTTTTTTGCTGGGCTGTGTACACACATGAACACCCACCAACTCATCCTCAGGCCACAAGCAGGGGCACAAGGGGATGCTGGAGCATGGGAAGGGAGCTGTATACTCCTCCTAGAGCCTGTCCCAGCTGGAGTGACTCACTGCATATTCTTGTTCCCTGCAGTGAAATTTTGCATTGTGAGCCTTGATGAGGAGTTTAAGGTCATCGACAAAGTGGTGAGTGTCTCTTCACTTTTCCAGGAGGCAGGGGCCAGTAGCATACTACCCCCAGGCAGAGTATGTGGGGCAATCATCACACTTCTCCCTGCAGTAAGCAAGGCTGGGGAGGATCCAGTGAGGTCTCTGTAAGGAACACATCCACGGTTGTCACCTCTCCAGCTCTTGCAGTCCCTCTGAGATGGGAGTGTGGCTGCTGTAGAAACCTGGGTGTTTAGTTGGGGAGTGTTGAGACCTGAGCTCAGAGGCAGGACCTGCTGAAGGGGAAGCTGAGACTTGTATAATGGTGATCTCATTTCTCTCTTGTGTTTCACACTACCCCCTGGTGCAGCTGCTGGTGTGTGACCTCTTGGACCTGTCTTCTCAGCTCCACATTGCCACTGACACTGCTGGAGTGCACCACATCTCCTGGCTGAATCCTGCCCTGCTTCCCTTCCCCTGAACTGTTACCAGCAATTAATGGTTCTGGGGGTGGGGGAGGCAGGCAGGGGGTGACAGGTAGCTGTCAAAAAAGAAAGAGATGGGAGACTCAGGATGGGCTGGGGGCCCTCAGGCACAGAGCGAGGATGTGACTCTTGGCATGGTGCTCCATGCTCGCTCTGAGCATGTGTATGGGGCTGAACCCCCGTTCATGCCTAAGGACACCAGTGTTTACAGTGGTGCACATGTGACCATGACTGTCCATTCCTGCATAGGATCCCAATAAAAATCGTATCAGCCAGTGGCTAGATGTGAAGCCAAGGCAAGGGATTGTGGATTTGTCCTTCCTGTTGGCCTCTGAAGTAGCTCTGGGGACATATGCCATCAGACTGGATGAAGAGGAAATTACAGATGACAAGCTAGGACTATTCACGGTGGAGGAATATGGTGAGTACTAGAGTGGGGAGGCCAGGGGAGGCTGCATTAGGGTGTGTAGGGTTGTTCATTAGATTTTGCCATTTGAGAATTACTGCCCCTGCCTCCCCTCAACCCCACCTCCATCCTGAGGTCTTGGTCCCCACTGTGCTCCATCTGAAGCCCCCCCTCACTGGCTCATACTGCACTCTCCTAGGGCACCGTCACCTTGCTTTGGAGGAAGAAAGGAAAATGTAGCCCCATTATTCTTTCAGCCTTGAGCTTCAGCTACACACAAGTCCCTGGCCCAGACCCCTGCCGCAGGTCCTGCCCCTGTGCTCCAGGCTCTCCCCAGCTTTCCTGGGGAATCAAGCCTTGAATTCATTCAGTCATGGGGTCCCTTTTCACATCAGTAATGCTTCCTGCATCTGGAGGAACCCTGCTTGGCTGTACTGAGGTGGAAATGAGCCCAGGTTTATGCAGGCCTGGGTCCCCTGGCCTCTCTTTCCATACACACTGATCTCTCGATGCTACCCTTGCCGTGACAGTAAATGGGATTGAGTTTAGGACTTGTCCACATTGGACACGGTAAGGAGCACCGTGGTGAGGCACAGCACCTGTGCTCTATGGGTGCTATCCCCTGAAATGATTCTGGGGGAGGGGGAGGCAAGCAGCAGGTGACAGGTAGCTGTCAAAAAAGAAAGAGATGGGAGACTCAGGATGGGCTGGGGGCCCTCAGGCACAGAGCGAGGATGTGACTCTTGGCATGGTGCTCCATGCTCGCTCTGAGTATGGGGCATAAGCATGATCCTGGGAATGAGCCCTCAGGACATTTGAGCCAGCCCCAGAACTTATTGGTGTAAGCCAGCCTTGCTCTGAGGAAGCTACATTATATCCACATCTGGAGTACATGCGGAGCACTTTAGAGAAGTGCCCCAAGGCAGCCCACAGCTGGCTTAGATATGCCATTAGTCTCCCAGTCCATCCATCCAGTGCCATACTGGTGTCTCAGAGGCTGTGTCAGGGAAAAATGGTGATCTCACTTCTTGGGACTCTTCCCTGAACCCATCCTCCTACCTCCATTTACAAAGCTGCCAAAATTTGAGCTGGTATATGAGGTCCCATACCTGATTAACACTGCAGATAAGGAGTTCCAGGTCAAAGCCTGTGGCAGGTGAGTGAAACTGCCTTGTCTCACAAGCCCCAGTCCCACCCTGGACATTGGCTTCCTTCCACCACCCCTCTGGCAGCAGAGTAATGACCACTTTTCTTCCATTGCTTCTCTCCTACCTGTGGCTTGGGGACCCCACCACAGCAGGAAACAGACACCTCCCAATGCCACCAGGATGGGCATAGACCTCAGCTGCCCCTTTCCTACAAAACCTACGCCTATGCAGAGTAGGTGGAATGGGCAGTGCGGTGACTCTGAAGGGCAAACACCCAGCAGAGATCTGAGGGGAACCATTCCTGCCCCTGTTCTTTGTTCAAAGGGTGTGCTGAGACCAAGGGTGCTGAGGCTGGTTTCACCTTCTCCCTGAGCATAGGCGCCCTGTTCCCTTCACTCTGTCCTGTTGCTGAGATGTCTGGTCCCCCCTGGGGGTGTCTTCTCCCACTTTAACCCAGGTACACCTATGGCAAGCCTGTCCAGGGAGAATTAGAGGTCAATCTGACTCGAGCTGTAGATCCTTTTGCAGAAACGGGAAACACAACACTCTCTCTCATCAGCAAGGAGTTTAAGAGACAGGTGAGCAGATGGGGGTGGGGATGGGGATGGGGATGGGGATGGGGATGGGGATGGGGAGGGAAGGGAAGGGAGTGAGTCATTGGCTGAAATAAGCCACCCATCCAAGTGATCTGCCTCTGTCCCTTCTAACATGTCCTTCTTCATCTGTCATGGCATCCTGTTTCCTGCCTCCTGCCACAGCGGGTCAGACCAGGCATCCAATCTGCTCATGACCCTGCTGCTGGAATTACCTCAGTAACACACTGGCCTAGGGACACCCAACTCCCAGATAAGAGAGAAGTCCGGGTGCTTTGGGGAAGGGTGGAGGGCCTTCCCGCCCTCTGACCCACAGTGACAAAAGTGGCCCTTTAGCACAGTCTGTAAAGATGCCCACTGCTGGGTGCTTCCAGGAGGAACACAAATTACCCATGCATACCAATCTTCTCCCAGACACCCCAGATGCAGTTCTACATGCCACAAGAGGGGCTGTCATTAGTATGGCAACTACATACTCAAAGCTGAGACTTGGAAATCCAGCTGGGTCTCTGCATCTTGTGCAATACACGTGGCAGTAATAAGGCACCAGTCAGGACTCAGGAATTATTTTGGCCCCAAAGCACAAGGCAGACTAGAGGCTAGTGCCCTTTAACAGGACTGTACAGGCTCTGCAGGACTCATGGGAGTAAAACTCTGTGCATCGGACGTGGACCAAAACATTAGCACTCTTTGACCACCTTCTTCACATCTGCAGGACACAACATAGCCATAGAGAGGCATGAGGGGCCTATGGACTGAGGGTTACATGCTTTGTTGTTTAGGCAGATGGAGCTATGAGCCTAGTCAGGCCCCTCATCCTCACTTTCATAGAGTTCATAGACATAGACTTTGACCAGGCTCCTGAAGCTTTGACCCTCACCCCTACTCTGGGCAAGTCTCTGGACCCCAGGATGGGCCTGGGGGCAGTGGGTAGAGCTGGAGGAAATACCCATCAGGTTGGGAAATGGTATCAAAACATACATCCTAACTTCACTCCTAACCTTCGCTCCTATGTCCAGGGTGTTTTCCATGGAAGTTAGGCTTTCCTGGTTCTTCCTGTCCTCACAAGGAACACTGGCGTTCTGTCAGTGGAGGCCTAGACCATTACCTGACTCTTTGGAGCTTATCAGCTACACTTCTCAGACATTATCTCATTACCTGGAGAAACACTATTGGGGTGATTGGAAGGCCCCACTTTATCTGGCCAACTACTGACAGCAAGGAGGATGCCCTGCCACCTCAAGTGGCAGGATACTGTGTCTCGCACCTGCAGCAGTTGGTTTTAGTCCCATCTCCCTCCATGAGTGGATGTGATGTACCTAATCACTGCACTGTTTATCTGCCCTGCGTGGGGATGCTGCCAGTCTAGTTAATATGCCTCTAAGGTTTCCCTTCACTAAGCAAGATGTCCACCATGGGTTTGATGAGATGTACAGGGTTTTCAGCATCTAAAGACTGAGGAGCTGGATGGAAGGATGTTTAATATTGGGCAACATCTGCAGACTGCTGCCCCACTCAATCTGTGCTCTTTTTCTTTTCTTTGGTCCATCCCAACATCTACAGACAGACAAGAGTGGTTGTTCCACTTTTACGGTGGATACAGTGGATCTGGCACTGGCCAACTCTGACTACCAGGAATTTTTGACAACTTCATTCAAGCTGCAGGAAGAAGCAACAGGTACCAGTGGGGAGGGAAACACTGTCTCCTTGCACCTGCTGGCTTCTGCTACTCTCCTCCTGGGAAACCCTTGACTGATTGCTTTCTTGTTTGGTGGTCCCATCCCCCTTCATTCCCCCACCCAGTGCAGGTGATTTTTTAAACTTCAGATCTTTGAAGTCGGTGACTTTCACTGAGATTTAGTTTTGGTGTCTTTCAGGTATCCCCACTTTCTACCAGACCCCTGGGCTACACCACTTCCTCCCACTTGTCTCCAATTGCCTGGGTTCATATTTCCCCGCAAGATTCTCTAGTACTGGAGTGCCCAACCAGCCACTAGTGTGAGCTGCACAAACAGCATCTCTCCATCACTCAGTGCACCTCAGCCTGCCATGGAATATATAGCAACCCGTCCTCGCTGTCTCCAGTCAGCCACTGAGCCTTGTCCACAGCATTACATACCTACAACAATGTCCACAGCATTGGACTCTAGGTATGTCTACATTGGCCTTGCACTGCTCTCAAGGCTGCCTCTGAAAAATAAGCAACCAACTGTACTCTTTAAACCCAGTAATGGGGCCACAAGTCTGTTCCAGGGCTTCCTTCATCCTGCATTGCTGTAGAGCACCCCATCCATTGGGATTTCCAGAAATCCCTACCCTAAGCACTACCCCACTTCCCCTGCTCTCTGGTGTTTTTGATTCCCACATTACTTCCTATTTGGCTCTCCAAGATGCTGCCACTAAAATGGTGTCTCTCACCCTGTTGATCTGACCAATGTATTGAATTCCTCCCCACTTGCTCTCTGCACTGGATTCTAGCTTCTCTCTCTTTCCTACAGGTCTGGCACAGCTCTGTCCCAGCCTGCAACTCAGAAAGCATCCCTTTTGCACTGCCCCAACCACGCTCTGTGTTCTCTGCTCCTGTCACCATGCATTTCTCTGCACTGCCCTGTGTTTAGGGAATGTTGTTTCACACCCAGTCTGGGAGGGACCCACACAGCCCCTGCTTAGATGTCCTCTAAAGAACTTTATTTTGGTCTGTGAGACCTGGAAACACAAGCTTCATAGGCACCTGTAAATACAAGCCTTCACTGGGAGGGAACAAACAGGTAAGTTGACAGAGCTGAATGTATTCAATATCCAAACACCTTTCCCTGGTTCTCCAACTGCACAGTGACAGACTGGAATAGACTGGCTCAGTGGTCATAACCACGACTGCCTGCTCCATTCCTGGCAGGCAGCAGAGATGCTCCTCTGGACCTAGTGGTAGGTGTTGCCATGGAAGGCACTGGGTTTCTGACCTACTCCTGAGTCTTAGTACCAGACAGATGCATTTGCCATTTGGACTGTCAGCTCCTTAAAGCAAATGGTTACTTTGACTTTGTGTCTGCTACAGTGTTTAACAAATACCTCATCTCTGCTCAGGAGCCACAATCTGGGAATCTGCCAACACCAGCATCACTGCGGAGCAAGTGTTGATGGAATTTGTTGATTTCAATCCATTCTACAAACCTGGATTCCCATATACAGGCAAGGTAATGTCCACTGCCCTCTCTGTCCCAGGGGAGCCTCCCCTCTTTATACCTTGGAACCAAGCATAGAGGAAGGGAGAGATTAATGCTGGGAATAAACCATAGGCCCAGTTCTCAGCTGCCCTAAAATGGTGGGCTCCTATTAAAGTCAATGCAGCTATGCTGATTTACACCAGCTGAAGATGAGGCTGTGTGTGTCCAGCCTCCTCAGAGACTACTGAGGCTGAAGACTTCAGCAGATGAGTTCTGTGGCCAGACCTGGTTTCTGGAGGCCTTGTGGGTGCTTTTCTCTGCATTCACAGACAGCAATGTCATCTTCAGCTCCTGAACTCTTCACTCCTGCAAGCAGGCAGGAGAGGGCATTCTCTTCGTAATCCTGTCTGCATGTTAATGCAGGCCTGATATAGGTGACTGCACAGTCATTACGATAGTCCCCGCAGGGAGCCCCACTTCTGACCCCAGCACCCCAACAGGGAGCTGGAGAGCACCATGCTGCCAGGAGTGGAGAGAATGAGTGTTGAGAAGGTGACCTCCCCTCTGGAGCTACACTGTTCCAAGAGCCCCAGTGTGGTCTAGAAGGAGCTGGGCTGCCTGAGCTTTAGACAAGATGTGAAATCATGGACTTGGCCTTTAAAGCACCTGTACCACTGCTCAAGGGCACAGATGTGTTCATTGCAATATCCAGGGGAATTACCTTTCTCCTCCCTAAGATTCCCTCAGTCATAGCTGGATGAATTTTTTCAAGCCAAGTCTTAGATCATTGTGTATTGCTGCTCTTAAATAGCTGCTTATATTTTTCAACACTGGTTATTAGGATCTCTGTATCCTGTCTGTCACCTATAAAATACTTCAGAGTGCCTGGCCGGAAAGGTTTTACAACTGCATTCAGCATCAGAAGCCATCCAGTTTCCAAACTGCAATGCACAGTGAGTAGGAGAAAAGGAGACAATCATTTTACTTTCTTCTCTACAGATGCACTGTTGCATCGGTGACTTTCCCCTCCAAAACAAAACTGTTTACCTGACTGTGGACGTCAATGATGTGGAGACCCATTGGTCATAAGTCACAGATGAGAACGGTGATCCTATTTCTTGCTAAACACAACCCACTGGAATGACACTCTGGTTTCTCTGAGGGTGAGTCCTGTGAGTAGACAGAAGTGGAATCAATGTCAGAATCAGTAAAGACATGAAGGGACAGGACAGAGAACAGAAGGCTCTGGGGTTTTGGTACTGAACTTTTGACTTCTCATGCTAAGTGCTATTCCCTTGGGCTGTCTTGACCAGGAAGAGTTGCAGCTTCAGCTCAGCCACTCACCAAGTCTCAGAAGTGGAAGCACTTCCTTGCATGAGAGGAAACTCCTTGTTTTCCATGTCCTGCACAGCTTCCTGTTTGCCTTACCTTGCTATAACCCTGGCTCTGGATGCTTTCCCTATATTTTTTAGAATACACTTTAACACTTACTTACCTTTAGCTAGTATGGTACCAACATTGCAGAGGTATAATGCCTCCAAACCTGTTTCCTTTGCTCTCTACTAACCACAACCTGGAAGATAGATTAGAACCAGCACTTCAGAGCAGGAGGACTCCATAGCCTTATTCTTGATTCCCTGACCCATCTTGCTCCCCGGCTCTGTAGCTGAACTGGAACCAATACCTTACAGGCAAAACACCCCACAGACTGTTCCCAGTAGCAGCATTCTAGACATAGTTTCATAGCTGGTAGCGTAGGAAGGGACCTGAGCAGATCATCAAGTCTGACCCCCTGCCATGGGCAGGAAAGAGTACTGGGGTCAAATGACCCCAGCTAGGTGTCTATCTAGCCTCCTTTTGAAGACCCCCCCCAGGGTAGGGATGAGCAGCACTTCCCTTAGAAGTTGGTTCCGGCTCCTAGCCACCTTGACAGTGAAGTAGTGCCTCCTGATAGCTAGCCTGAATCTACTCTCAGTCAACTTATGCCTGTTGTTCCTTGTTACTCCCTGTAGTGCTCGGGGGAATAGGGACTCTCCCATTGCCTGCTGGTCCCCCTTGGCAAGTTTATAGGTGGCCACCAGATCCCCTCTCAGCCTTCTTTTACTCAGGCTGAACAGGTTTAGGTCCCGTAGCCTCTCCTCGTAGGGTCTGCCCTGCTGCCCCCTGATCATGTGAGTGGCCCTCCTCTTGACCCGCTCGATGCTGTCCACATCCCTCCTGAAGTCCGGTGCCCAGAACTGACACAGTACTCCAACTGCGGCCTGACCAGTGCCGCATAGAGGGGGAGGATCACCTCCTTGGACCTGCTCGAGATGCATCTGTGGATGCATGACAAGGTGCGGTTGGCCTTCCTGACTGCATCCCCACACTGCCAGCCCATGTTCATCTTGGCATCAATGATGACTCCAAGATCCTTTTCTGCCTCTGCACTGACGAGAAGGGAGTTCCCCAGCCTGTAGGTATGCTGCTGGTTCTTCCTCCCCAGGTGCATCACCTTGCACTTGTCAGTATTGAAACCCATCCTATTCTCATCCACCCACCTCTGTAACCTGTCAAGATATAGTTATAGCCTGTCCCTCTCTTCTAGCATGCTCACTTCTCCCCTCATCTTAGTATCATCCGTGAACTTGAACAAAGTGCTTTTCACCCCCTCGTCCAAATCACCGATGAAGATATTGAATACCTTTGGCCCTTTTACAGTCCTCTGGCACCTCACCAGAGCACCATGAGTGCTCGTACAGCCGTGCCAGGGGTCCTGCAATGACCTCAGCCAATTCCCTCAGCACTCTGGGGTGGAGATCATCGGGACCTGCTGATATGAACACATCTGGTCCCTCCAGAAGTTAGTTCCCTGACTAGGTCCTCACTGACCGTAGGCCTGCAAGTGCCTCCCCTGGGTCTGTCTGGATTCCCAGTGTGGGGGATGTCCCTGTCCCTGCTCAGAAAAATGGAAGCAAAGAACCTGTTAAGGAGGTTAGCTTTGTCATCTGGTGCTACCATCAGATTACCAAGCATGTTCTGCAGACGCCCCACGTTACTGGTACCTTCTTTTTACCCCCTATGTAATTAAAAAAGGACTTCTTGTTATCTTTGATCCAGGTCGCTAGTCCCAGTTCCACCTCTGCCTTAGCCTTCCTGACAGCCCCCCTACAATCTCGAACCAAGAAGGTATAATCCTCCTTAGTGATGGCCCCTCCCTTCCATTGGATGTACACCTCCCATTTGGTTTTGAGATGTTCCTGGATGCTTTGGGTGAGCCATGGGGGCTTTTGAACACTCTTGTCCCCTTTGATCCATGTGGGGATTGTAATGCTTTGGGCTTGGAGGATCTTCTCCTTAAGGAACAACCACTCTTCTTGGACTTCCAACTCCCCTCCCCTCTGGAACCTCAGTGCCTCCCCGACTAGTTTCCTTACCTCATTGAAGTCCAGGGCTGATGTCTTGCTGCAGGCCTTTGCCACCTTGAGCTGGATGGTGAATTCCAGTAGTCGATATCACTATTGCCCAGGCGGTCGAGCACCTGCAGTCCACTCACCAGGTCATTGCCTGTGGGCAGGACCAGGTCCAACAAGGCACTTCCCCTGGTGGGACTGTGCACCTCCTGGGTTAGGTGGAGGTCCTGTAACTCAGCTAGGAACCTACGTGAGTGGTCAGACCTGGCTGACTGCTCTTCCCAGCAGATGTCCAGGTAGTTTAGGTCACCCATGATGACCACGTCCCTTGACTTGACTGCCTCCGTGAGCCAACCTGAGAATTCTCGGTCCAGCTCTTCCCCCTGTTTGGGGGACCTGTAGTAGACCCCCACCATTAGATCCCTTTCCCCCTGACCTCCTTGTATTCAGACCCAGAGCACTTCAGTCTGCCCCTCCTCTGACCCAGTGCTGTTTGCTGAGGATGTGTATTGCTCTTTGACGTAGAGCACCACACCCCCGCCTTTCCTCCCCTTTCTATCCCGCCTGTACAGCCTATAGCCCTTGATGTTTACCACCCAGTTGTGCATTGGATCCCACCAAGTTTCAGTGAGCCCGACTATGTCCAGGTTTGTGTTAGCTAGCAGGACAGCAAGTTCCTCCTGCTTGTTCCCCATACTACAAGCAGTAATGTAGAGGCATTTAAGGCTTCCTGAGGGTGTATGCGCCTCCCCACAATCCCTGGACTGTCCAGGTCCCTGTCTCTTACCTGGGTATTTCTTGCACTCATCGCCTGACTTGGCTGGGCTGTTCTTCTGGGTATCTCTTCGCTTAATATTCTGTGGCTCCCTTAGTCCTCATCCTCCCCCGACATGCCTAGTTTAAAGCCCACCAGAGGAGATCAGCCAACCTGGAAGAGAATACACACTTACCTTTGGGGGAGAGGTGAAGCCCAGCTCCCCCACATGAAGTACCATGTGTTTTGCTGCAAGCTGCCATCATCTGTAGCTAGCTCTAGTTCCTACAATGTGTTGGGGCAGAAGTCTGTCACTATCATGGCATTTGCAGATATATACTTTTTAAAACAGAAGTTTTTCTGGATGTGAAATATAAGGGTAAAACTTACAGCCCAAGCAGTCACCTGTATTCTGCACTGAAGTATTTGATTCACCTCATGTTACACTGCTCTGAAACGCCCATTTTCAATGGGTTGCAAATTTTGGCACCAATATCATCTAACTCAGGCTTGTCCAACATACGGCCCGCGGGCTGTCATGCGGCCCTCCAAGCTGTTTTCTGAGGCCCGAGATGCTGTGACAGGAAACAAAAGTAAACACTGTACTTTCGTTTCGAGGAGGGTGATGTGATACCGCTTCCTGTAAGGTCTTTGAATATGGCTCGCCGGCCCACTGGGTGATAAAAAGCTCATGATCCGGCCCCACATTCAAAAAGGTTGGACACTGATCTAACTGCTTCTCAGAGGTTGGGATTTTGGACAGGGGAGCAAGGAAATTAGGGGGTTGGGCACCTAAGAAGGCAGGGAGGAGGAGAGGGAGATAGGTGGACAGGGCACAGAGGTCATTGGGCTTATGGGAGAAGGACATTAAAAAAGCATTTCTGCTAAAAATGTCAGCCGTGAGAGAGTTAACAAAAGTTGCCAATTGTTTTTCTGTTCTAGCCTCAACACACAGTTGAAAAGCAGGGGGCATCTCCATTTCCTGGAGGCCTATTGCTTATAGATTTCATAGACATTAGGGCTAGAAGGGACCTTGGAAGATCATCAGGCTGGTGGACTTCACTCTACTGATTGCATTCAGTTCATATATTTAAAGGTTTCTTGGCAACTATGAGCATTCAAGACACAACTGAAAGCAAAGAGGAAGCTTGTGGTTCTGTACCCAGGGTAGATTCAGCTGCAAGTTCTGAAGATGGGCATTGCAAGGGGCCTGCCCACATGCTACAGGGACAATGTTTCTATCATGCACCACTGTTATGGACTAGGATGTAGGTGGGTGGCCTAATGGTTAAGCCACTGAAGGAAGGCAGGGGCAGAAGAGCCAAAATGCCAGGTCCAGAGGGAAATCCAGAGGCAGAGTCCACAACACAGTCCAGGCTCACGGTCCAGGAATCAGATTTTGAGTTACTGGGTCCAAGGGACAATCCAGAGATCAAAGTCCAAAAATAGAACCAAACAGGGTCAGGAACTAGAAAATCCAGAGAGCTCAGGGACCAGGAGGCTTACCACAGCACACAGGGATCAAAGCTGTCAGCTGGCCTGGAATCTGCTTCCACAGCTGGGGCTAAATGGGTGGGTGGTGCTCCCAGCAGCAAATCAAGAAACTGGCCAGTTAATTCACTGGAGCAGAGCTTGGCAACCAGAGATTGAAGGTAGGTATGGTCACCTAGGGCTTTAACCCAAGCTGGGGCTTCTTTATGAGGGTCCCTGATGACCGCATTCATATGGTTGTGTGCTGCCTGGCGCTGACCCCCTCGCTGCACATCTGTGTGCTTAAGGGCAGGTATTCCGTCAGGAACGTCACCAGGGAGGACAGCTCCACAGCTGCTGTGAGTTTCCATGAGGCTTTCAAGTGGCTGAGACCCTTCTACTCTGAGAGCCGCAGTTTTTTGGAGATCCAGTATGTGAAAGAGGCGCTGCTCTGTGGCCAGGAGCATGAGGTGCAGGTGGAATACATCCTTGACCGGAGCAAGCTGGGCCCTGGGGCCAACCACGTGGATTTCTATTTCTTTGTGAGTGCCCAGAACAGTCAGGGCATGTGATATTCGTACTGCTATTTAGTGGGTATACCCAAGACATCACTGGGCAGCTCCATGCCCTGGGTACTGGCAGTGCCTGTGGCAGTGGTGGCTGCAATGCTGCCAGCAGTGCTGATGTGACCGGCTGCCAGCTGTGGCAGTAGCTCGTTTTGCTTCCCTCCCTGCCTCAACACACATACCTCAGAGGTGGCGACCAGAGCTACTGCCCTGTTTTCTCCCCTCAGTTATGCTACTGGTACACTTTGCTGTGGATCCTAGAGGCCTACAGTGGAGGGAGGTCAGGCAGTACACCAGTTTGCAGGTGCCATTTTGTACCTGTCTTTTGTTGGTGCCTCCCAATTAGTGTGTTAGCATGTCTCCGAAGTGTCTCTTACCATACTCCTATCCCCCCTAGCATTTGACAGCCATCCTAGCTTAATGGGTTAGGAATGACTCAAGTCAGCCTTGGATGACCATTTCTTTTCCATGGTCACCAGTTTGCTGTTTTGCCAAGGGCAGCTCTGGAGGGCAAGACTAATTTTGAGAATGCAGACAGCCTTGCCCTGGCCATCCCAAGGGACCAGTTTCTCGGAGGTGAACTCCATGGTGTTTGGAGCAACACTGGCCTATAGACTGAAAGGGACCTCTCACTTCAGGGCAACCAGTTGTTCTTGGTCACTAGCCAATGTGCCCAAGTCTATCCCAGCTCAATAACCATGTCCCTGCTCCAGATCTCCTATGCTCCTGTGCTACCAGGGCAGCACATGTGACCCTTGCCTCTGCTAGGCATTGCTAGTTCTATGTTTTTTTCTCATCTGGCTTCACATCCAAACAGCTAGCACCTTGGCCTCTGACTGGCTGTTTTCTTTCTGCTCCAGGTCATATCAAGAGGTAGGATTGTCTTCAATGGACAGAAGCAGGTGCCAGTTGGGCAGGATGAAAGTAAGTAGGAAAACACAAACTTCACAGGAGTCTCTGTTCCAAGTCAAGCTATTGGGCCAGCTCTTTCTGGGATGTAGCCTTCTCCTTTGCCAGGTCTTCACCTTGTTCAGTGTCCCATCTCCTGTTTTGTTGTCTCTAGCTTGGTGTCCTGCCTCACCACTGTGGCTAGTAGCAGACACTTCAAAAGGAGGCAGGAAACCGACATGACTCACCTACTTGTACAATACCATCCTACAACGGTGGAATATTCTCTTGCCCCATGAGGTATTCAATAGCTAGGGAGTCATTTATCACTGTAGATATTCTTGGCCATGGCAGGAACTATGCTCACTAGTGGGGGCCAGGAAGCAACTTTTTTTGCTCATGAATGCAATGGGCCTCTGGTAGGCTCTCTGCTTTCCTTCGAAGCACTGAGATGTTGATCACTGCTGAGGCTTAGGGTTTTAACAGGGTTACACTGTGTCTGCCACTTCTTGGAAAACTCAGAGGTTCCTAGAGGGTCTTGCTCCTCTGCTCAAGGCTATACCTATGGCCAAATTTGGCCAAAAAAAGTAATTTTTCCCCTCAGACAACTTAGCCACAGATCTTGAGCATTTTCATCTTCCGTGGAGGTATAGGGCCTAATCCTCTATCTTAGATTTTCCTAGAATGTATTAACCACATACTTCCCTGTTCCTGCAGAAGCAGAGCATTGGAAGTGTCCTCATCTCCCTGCTTGTATCTGTGGCATGCTATAGGGTGTTCTTGGTGTTTTGGGTATTGTGCCTCATAACTGTGTAAGGCGGTAGAAGGGGCACTGTTGGGGGGACTAGATCTGTGCTAACAGCAGCCTGCAAACACAGGGGACTAGATCTGATGGCCCAGGTGGCCACATTCAATTCAATGTTCCTATGCCCCATTGTGATTCCTGCCATGCCATCTGCTTCAAGGGCATCCAGTGGCAGTGGGTTCCAGAAGTCAATTCCCTGATGTGCAGATTTAAATAAGTCTTTTACCTCCCTTGTGCAGCACTGAAGGGATGCTTCTCCTTGACCCTGCCCATCAGTATTGACTTGGCACCCTCCTCCAACCTTCTTGTTTATGCCATATTTGAAGATGGAGAGGTGGCGGCAGACATGGAAACTTTCACAATTCAGAAGTGCTTCAGAAATAAGGTGAGTATCACCCTACAGGGCTGGGAGGGGGTAGAAGCATGGCTTGGATTGGATGGCCTGTGCTCTCAGCTCTAGTCCCTGCATCCTTTTCTTTGTGTTTCCAACAGCTTCACCCACTCTCTCTGTCTCAGCATCCTTCCCTCTCCTCCTGTCACTGGGGCTCCATATCCCTTATTGTCTTGTGCACCTTTCTCCTTTGATAAACCCACATCCTGTTTCCTCTCCAGGTGTCACTGGCCTTCTCCCAAGAGGAGGAACTCCTAGGCTCAAAAGTTGGTTTGCACCTGCAGGCCACTCCAGGCTCCCTGTGCTCTGTCCAGGCTGTGGACAAGAGTGTTCTCCTGAAGGAAGGCAGCCTCCTGACAGCAGATGCTGTGAGTAAGCCTGCCCCAACCCTGCCACCAAGGGGCCCATGTCCCCTCTGCACTCAGGAGGAAGCACAATGATGGGGAGAGGTCTACTTTGATGTCCTGGAACAGGGTGGTGCTTCTGAGGAGGAAGCTGTGCTCTGCAGGGAGAGAGAGCTGTGTTTTCCCTTCTAGAGCACTTGGAGATCCTTTCCCTACTAGATTTTAGCCTGCTTCTGCATTGCAGTCTCTGTGAGGAGGGACCCTTGGCTAGTGGTTAAACAAAGAGGCTTGGGAGCCAGGACCTTTTTAGGGTCTTGTCCAGGTTTGGTACTGAGGCTGGAAACAATCAGCAGAGTGTGATCAGCTGTAATGAGGCTCTGATATATCACAGCACAGCTGATTGTGCTCCACAGATATCTAAAGGCATCACCAGGTGCTACACTTTAACTTGGGGCATGTCTGCAAACAGGAGGAAAACCCCCACGTTCCCCCAACTCCACGCTGGGGAGTGAGGGGACCCTTCTGCAGCGGATTTCTCCAGCAGGCACCTGCAAATGTGGAGGGGGAAAACTCTCAGAGGGTCCGTGTCTGCAAGTACTTACAGATGTTCACCAGGGAAATCCCCTGCAGAGGGATTCCCCCAGTGTGTGCATCACTGCTGCACTCTGATGTGGGATATGTGTCTTCAAACTTGCAGACATGCACTCTGTGTCATGCTGAAGCTCTGTATTTCCTTGCTTACCAAGACCCATCCCCCAAGATCCCTGTAACATTTCTGTGTAAGCAGGGAAAGCAAGGTGGGTGTACCCAAGGCCTGATCCTGCCTGAGATTCCTAGGATGTGCAGGACCGGACTCCTCAAGGCTTTGGAGCCCCTGCCCAGGGTGGCTGGAGAGTGCAGATGTCTGCAGGCTGTTCTGGTCTCCCACCATAACTTTACAGATGTCTCTATTTATCACTGCCTTCTGTCACGGCCACAAATTTGAGCGTTTGTGGCATGACAGGATGTAGGGACATCTGCTTACTTTTGCTTTGTGCCACCATAAAAATGTTTATGGTGGAACAAATATGATGTCTGTTTTCTTCCTGAGTGGCTGTGTGACCTAGGACCACAGGGCAGGGAAGGCTAATTCTAGCCTGTCATGTGGGTTGTGAGACTTAATTCACTGAGATCCTTTGAAAGGCCCTGGAGATGTGCAAAGGCTGGAGAGCACGGAAGGGTAGACCTGACCGGCACGGGGTGTCAGATTCCAGGATGGGAGCCTGAGCCTGCTGCGCCCAGCAAGTCCCATGTTGCATTGAAGGACCAGTGCTTTTGCATTGCTGAAAGCTGCGGCTAGTCAGGATTTCTTGGGGGAAACAGATGGGAGAATAGTGGCACCCTCCAGAACGGTACTCAGAGCACCCCAGTAACCTCTAGTCACATCATGCATCATAGCTGTTTAATTGCCCATATAAACAAAACACAAGATGTAAACAGCGCTCCTACATGCTATCAGCTGGCTCCTTCCAGCAGTTCCAGGTATCAGCATTGTCTGTGTTCCCCCCTCTCCAGCAGCCTAGGTTTACAGGAACTCTGCTCCTTGCAGGGTTCAGGGCCAGATAAACCCCGCTGACTGAGGATCTGAGTTCCACCTCTTCTGATCATGTGCTCCTCTGACAAGCTACATGTGTGCCCCCTTAGCTAAGTGGCACCAAACCTTTGGCCCTGCAAGCTGGATGAGTGGTGCCAGGTCAGTCCGCAAGCCAGATCTGGACCATGGACCTGATCCAGTGCATGTTGTTGGCCCAGCTGGGGCCTGATCCCTCCAGGTGGGAACCATTCAGATAGGGCCTGATCCAGCCATGCAGGCCAACATGGGCAGGACCTGCTCTCTCCATATGGGCCAACCTAGGAGGGACCCAGTCCCTCTGCGTAGTGTCAGTGCAGCCAAGGCCAATACAGACACATGGGGCTTGGATACTTGGTGGTGGGAGAGCCATGGTAGTGCTAATTGCCACCTCTCCCCCCATGCCTATGCCGAGCTCTGCAGGCTGGATGACATGGCTCCAGTAGCTGGATCAGGCCCACAGGCCAGGGGTTGAGCACCCCTGCCTTAGCTCAGTGAACAGCCTAATCTCATCTGCTGCAGTTTGCTCGGCTGAGCTGCAGCCAGTGCCCTCCTATATGCTTGGAGCTCTACCTTTTTTACCTCCTGAGATGCAGCCAGCTTGCCACCCTGTAGCCCCTATTTTGACTTTCTCTTGGCTGTTGACCTTCCCCTGGCTGCTTAATGTAGATCATGGCCCTAATACACCTAATACAGCAAATTGCACCCCTAGCTTCCAGTTTTATCTCTCATAAAGTAACAGGAGCCTGTTAAGTCCTACTTCTCATTGCTAGAGGACACACACGCATACACACATATGCACACAAATGCATGCATGCATGCATACACACACAGGCACACACAGCTATATACACTTGGGGCCAGTGTGTTACATTAGCCTCTGTCTTCCCACTGCAGATGTATGAGCAGTCCCACCCCCTGAGGTACTTGATTGAAGGGCGAGGATTCCCTTATCACCTGGAGGACTTCGAGCTGTACCCCTGCCTACCTCCTGTCACTCCTCATCCCCCTACCCTTTGGAACAGACACCCCACAATGGGGGCCCCCTGGTATCAAGTGAAGCAGATGTGTATAGTCTCTTTAAGGTGAGTTTCTTCTTTGCTCCTGCACTAATTTCCTCCTCACCTTCATCTGACCTGCTGTGTGGCCCAAAGCCATGTTCTTTGCAAGGGAAGCTCAAGATGTGCTGATTCAGGTCTCAGTTATCTGGGCAATGACTGTAATTCACTGCCGCAGACAGATGCACTCCTGATTTTGTACCATGAGAGAAAAGAATTTGTCCCAATTTTATCACGTTTTTTCCTCCACTTTTGCACACATTTTCCAGAGCTAAAAATGCAAGTGAATGTGCAATTATGGATTCTACATGAATATACAGCATTTTGACATATCCCCTTTACCTGTAGCTCACTCATTACAATTTGTTGTTGTTGTGATGGGGGGGTGGGTTTCACAGTTTCCCCTTCCCTCATTTAATCATGTTTCTGTTAGAATTATAGAAAAAATAATTTCAGGAGGTCCCAAGCCCCAGCTGAAGGCAGGATCATCTGTGACTACCCCATCTAACCAGATGAAGCTTCAGTCTGGGTAGCCTGTTGCAGTGCTGAGCTACTCTCATAATCAGAAGGGTCTTCCTAATGGTGAACCTAAATTTTCCCTGATGGAGACCATTTCTCCTTGTTTGTCTCCTGCAGCTATGCAGAATACTCTACCACCATCCTCTTTATAACAATCCTTCAGATGTTTGAAGACTGTTATCAAATCCTGCTTCCGTTTTTTCTACCCCAAACTAAATCATCCTGGTTCTTTCAGCCTTTCCTGATCAATCATGTTTCCTTGACTGTGAATCATTTTTATTGATCTCCACTAGACTCTTTCTAATTTGTTCACATTTGTCTTGAAGTGCAGGGCCCAAAACTGGATACATAGTGGTCCTCATTTGCAATTTTTATTTTTAAAAAATTCTGGAAATTTTTCAGGTTATATCTTCCAAATATAAAAACCAGGATGAAATTGGAATAAAAGGAAGAAAAGAAAAAAATGGTTTAAATCAGGGAAAATAATTATCCGTTCCCACAGCAATGAGGGAGGGAGGAACTGGAGTAAGGCTGGGACTAGGGAAGGGGAGGGGAGAGGGGTGTGAACGCAGCCTGTTGGCCGCTCCCAGGGCTGCAGCAGGAAGTAAAATGGAAGGAACTGTCAGTGGGTGCGGGGTGGGGGGACGTGGCTCTTGCTGCTATGTGCACCCCGGGAGGGCTGCGGGATGGGGGGTGCGCTGGGCTCTTCCCAGGGGTTGTGTGCCCCTGGATCTGCACTCAGGATGAGAGCAGGCTGCCATTGCAGGCAGGGGCAGGCACTGGGCTCTTCCCGGCATTCAGCAGTCTCCTCTCACTGTAGTCTGCTGCCACTGCAGGCTGGGCCGGCGGCAGCACTGGGCTCTTCACGGAGCTTGGGGCAGGTGGCAGCCTGCTGTCATTCTACGCATAGATCCAGGGGCAGGCGCCCCCTGGGGAAGAGCCCGGTGCAGCCCCTCAGCCTGCAGCCCTCCCAGGGTGCACATAGAAGCAAGAGCCATGCCCCCCATCCCCATGCCCTGCACCCACTGACAGTTCCCCCATCTTTGCTCTCTGCTGCAGCCCCAGGAGTGGCTGATGGGCTGCATTCATGCCCCTCCCCCCGCTGCAGCAGCTTGCTGCTGGGCTGCCCTGGTGTCTGGGGGGAGGGGTGAGTGGCACGGAGCTGGACACGGAGTTGGGGGACCCAACCCCGACACTGGCACCGGCACCTCCTTCCCTGCCAAGGGTCAGAACCGGGAGCCCTGCACCCCTGGGCAGCAGCTCCAGCCCCATGGGCCCATGCAGAGCAGACAGGTGCAGTGCCTGTTGCAGGGAGTGGGGCACCCTCCCCGGCCACCCTCCCCGGCCCCGGGACAGCCACCACCACTGGCCACATCCCCCCGCTCCACATGCAGCCACTGCCCCCTCCACTACCCCGTGTCCAGCTGGAAACCTGCACCTCAGGTAACCAACAGTTTTAGCTTACCAGCACCCCATTCCCCACTTGTGCTGGTTAACAGGGATTTGAACTGAAAAATGGGTGTTAATTAGTAAAAACCAAATAATTTCAATAAAAAAATTCAGGGAATTTATTGGTGAAAATCAGTAAAAAATGGAAATGAGAAACATTGTGAATACGGTACTCCAGGTGAGGCTTCACTAGAGCTGAACAGAATAAAAGAATCACCTCCCTTCACTTGCAAATAATGTTTCTGTTAATATAGGCCAGGATGCTACTGGCTTTTTTGCAACAAAGCATGATGTTGGTTCATATGCTGTTTTCCCAGGTCCTTTTCTGCAGTTTTGTGGCCTAATCAGTCATTTATTCCTCAGTCTCTATTTGTACATGATTGTTCCATCCTAAGGGAAGGACTTACTCCTTATCCTTAGTGAATTTTATTTGATTTATTTTGAACAATTTATCCAGCTTATGAAGGTTATTTTGAATCCTAACCCCACCCTGCGGAGTGTCTGCAACTGCACCCAACATGGTATTCTTTGTAAATTTGCTAAATGTGCACTCAATCTCAACTTACAAATCATTAACCAAGATCCTAAACAACAACTGACAAAGGAGAGACCCCCTGGGAACCTCACTTGATACTTTTTCCTGACCAAGCATGGAGCCATTTTGGTGACTACTCTTTGAATACAATGATCCAATCAGTCTACCTTATAGTACTTTCATTTAGATTATATTTATTTAGCTTATTAATGAGAATGTCATAGGAGACAGTGTCAAAAATCAAGGTATACCACATCCACTGCTCTCTGCACATCCACAGAGCCCATCACCTTGTCATAGAAGGAAATTAGGTTGGTCAGGCATAACTTTGGTGAATCTATGCTGCCTGTTTCTGATCACCTTGGCTGCTTATACACATGTTCAAGGGTGTGGGGGTGGAGGACATTTTAATTAGAGTGGTTCCCATAGAGTCGCTCTAATTAAAACACCTCATCGTCATGTGTGTTAAGCCCCCACATATTTAAAAATAGCCACAGGACACTTTGTCTAAACCCCATTTGATGAGATTTAGACAAAGTGCCCCTATGACCATTTTAAAATGTGTAGGGACCTATAAACTTGATGGTGAGGCAATGCTGGAGTGCTCTAATTAGAACACAGAACAGACTTGATTAATCAAATCTGTTCCAATGCATCCTAATTAGAACGTAAACTAGCACATGTATAGGCAGCCCTTGTTCTACTCAAAGTGCTTAGAACTAAATTCCTTGATAAACTGCCCCATGATCTTTCCACATGATGAGGTCAGACTGACTGGTCTGTAATTCTCCAGATCCTCCTTTTTTCCCTTTCTTAAAGATAGGCACTATAGTTGCCTTTTTTTGGAGTCCTCTAGGACCTGACCCATCCTCCATGAGTTCTTAAACACAATTATATAAGGCTGTGGTAATCCCAACTCTGCTCTATGGCTGTGAAGCTTGGGTGACCTATAGGAACCAGCTGAAAAGCCTGGAATGTCTTCACCAGGGCTACCTCTGAAAAATCCTTGGCATAAAGTGAGAGGATCATCATACAAATGGCAGCGTCCTTACTGATGGTAACACCACCAGAATAGAAGTGTTGATTACTCAACATCAGCTGCAGTGGACAAGGCATTGTGTGTGCATGCCTGATGTACATTTACCAAAACAACTGCTATACTCCCAATTCAGCCAAGGACAAAGGACACTCAGGGGACAGAGAAAATGCTTCAAAGACACCCTCAAGGCGAACATTAAGAAGTGTGGCATTGACATCACACATTTGGAAACACTAGCCCAGGACAGGGCTATATGATGATGCCTTGTGAGAGACGGTATATCTTACTTTTAGGAAAGCCGTCTCACCCTGAAGGCAGGAAAATGACAGAAACGGAAGGAAAGGAAACAAGACTGAGAAATCCATGATCCAACCCCCTCTTTAACCACCACCTGCAGTGTTTGCCAGAGTCTGTGGCTCTAGCATCAGCCTTCTTAGCCATCAGTGGACTCATCTACAACCCTTTACTTGACCCATGGGAGTGAACATCCTCAACCATGACAGATCACTGCCATGCTACCGACAACTGAATGGCTATTAAATTGCATTAACCAATTCCTTTAGTACTCTAAGGCGCACCCCATCTGACTCTGCTTACTTGAAAACATTCACTTGCTTTAAGTAGTCCCAAACCTGTTCTCACACTGACCTCTTTCATGAAAACTTAAGTAAAAAAGGCATTATATGTTTCAGTCTTTTCTGAATCATCCATGACTAAGTTGTCTTCTGCATTTAGTAAGGGACCTCTGCTTTCCATGGTCTTCCTCTTACTTCATATTTGAAGAATGCTTTTTTTTTAATTGTCTTTTGAGTTCCTTGCTATTTGCAACTCAATGCATTCCTTGACCTTCCTAATTTTCTCCCTCCAGGCCCATAAGATATTCTTATACTCTTCCATAATAATATGACCAGGTTTCCATTTTTTGTGGGATTTCTTTTTGTGTTTGAGCTCACTGACAAATTTGCTGTTCAGCCAGACTGGTCTTCTGCTGTACTTCTGTACTTCCTATCCTTTCTTTGCATTAGGATAGAGTGTTCTTTTGCATTAACAGAGCATCCTTAAAGTACAGTCAACTTTTCCCCTCAGATTTGTCCACCTGTTTCTGGAGAGTATTCAAGTTTGTATTTCTGAAGTCCAGTATCTTCATTCTGCTGCTCTTCTTCCTTCCTTCCCTTAGGATCCTGAATCAGTTCCTGGTCACTGTCACCCAAGGTATCTTCCTCTTTCACATTCTCAACCAATTCCTCTCTATTTGTGAGCTGCAAATTGAGAAGAGCTTTTCCCCTAATTTGCCTCTCCACCACCTGTACTGAAAAATAACCTTGAAGCACTCCAAGAACTTGGACTGCCTGTGCACTGCTATGTTACTATCCCAGCAGTGATTAAAATCCCCCACATGTGCCAGGTTCTGTAATTTGGAGACTTTGGTAAAAACCTCATCTGCCTCTTCCTCTTGGTTTGGACTTCTGAACCCTTTGACCATTTCTGTGTACTTTCATGTTATCTCCATTATCCCCAGCAATTGCAAATGAAACTTCACCAACACCAAAGTCAAGAAACCCGTATCCTGTGCAAAACCAACCTTCACAAGAAGAATACACATGGATGAAGGGCGTCATTATATCAATGGTAAGCAGGGAGTATGGTCTTTGGCTGCCTCCCTACAGAGATAACTCTGACAGAGGGGGCTCTGATGCTCACCTTTCTCTTCTTGGCATCTGCTGTCCCTGTCCTGGATTGTCTGTGACTGTGACAGGTGGCTAATTTGCCTCCCCCTGCACCTTGTGTTTTTTGCTTGTAGTACAAAGGAACCATGGGGGTATGGTGGAGTCTGCATGTACATTAAGTATAAAGAACATGCAGAGCCTAGCTACACAGATGCCCTTCTGGTCTGGCTGGACTTTTGAGGTTTCACACAGAACACAGTTAACACCACTAGAAGTCTCACAAACTATGTAAAGAAATGCTACCCTGTTGTCGTACATTATCTCCCTTCACACCCGTTTCGAACCTGATGACCCATTGTGAGCCAGAGGGACTCATCTCTATCCAGTATGCCTTTTTCTGTCCCTGTAGCCTGCACTCTGGTTTGTACTATCTGACTGAAAGCCCCATGCCCCTTCCCTTCCTTCTTGACTCCCAGTGATGGATTAGTTGTGGCCAAGGGGCTTATTTCCCCTGACATCCTAAACACCAGAGTTGATGCTTCTTCCCTGGCTTTTACAATTCTCTGCAGCTGTCCTGCCCAGTCCTCAATCAGTAGCATCAGGCCACAAGCAGGAAGAGAAGACAAAGCCACGGAAACACTTCCCAGAGACCTGGATTTGGGATCTGGTCCCCATTGGGTGAGTGATTCATAGATCTGTCACTTTAGAAAGAAAGTCAGTGGAGGTTCCTGATCACATACCCACTGCTACCTATGCTGAGAGATGCTCCTTACTGCACCGTACCCCACAAAGTGAAGCATCAAACACTTTCCTAGCTTTGAGGCTAAAGAGAATCTTGGATGGGAAGCCCCTGCCTTGATGGTCCTTCTCTAAGGAGTGGAGGCCCCAGGGCAGCATACAGGTCTGCCAGTATTAGACTGAAATATCAGTTCCTGCCCCAGCCCCAGTCCTCAGGCATATTTTTCCCTTTCCCTGCTCCATGTCTTTCATTCTGCATTGAAGAAGGGCTCTGTATCAGGGTAAATGGTGCCCTAGAGGGAAATAGTTCTATAGTCCATGCCTCAGGCTACCTGAGCCAGCCCCTGGATGGGAGCCAGGAGGCTAGAAGTGAAAGGCCCTGAATGCTTCCAATCTGGGCTCTGCAAATGATGAAGAGTTCCTTGTGATTATCCATTTTTCAGTGAAGAGGGGGAAACCTTTCTTGAAGTCATCATCCCAGACAGCATTACAGAGTGGAGAGCCAGCTCATTCTGCCTTGCGGATGTTGGCTTTGGACTTTCACACCCAGCCACACTCAAAGTCTTCCAGCCCTTCTTTGTGGATGTGAGGCTGCCTTACTCAGTGATCCAAGGACAGCATTTCACCCTGAAGGCCACTGTCTTCAACTACTTAAAGGACTGCATCCAGGTGAAAATCACCCCCTCCCCCATATCCACTCCATGCCCAGGTGAGGACTGGATCCCAGAGATGCATCTGAAGCCCATGTACAATCCAGGAGTCTCAGAAGTGCCTCTGTTGGGGGCCCTGGGACCTTGAGGCATAGCCAGGGGGCCTCACCACTGATGTATGTGTCTGTGCCCTCAGGTACACACCACACTGGAGGAGTCTGTGGAGATCCAGGTGGAGCCCTGCCCAAGCTGCCAGTTCACCAGCTGCCTCTGTGCCAATGAAGCCAAGACCTTCTCCTGGAGTGTGATGACCACCAAACTGGGTGAGGTGGCTGTGGGTGGCAGGAGGGAAGCTGAATGCTTGCCTGCTTTGCCAGACCTCTTTCTTTCTCTAGCCTGCTTTGCCACCTGGGTCTTTGCTCTGAATACTCACTGCTGCTTCTGTGTGCTCTCCCCTAGGCAGTGTGAATCTCACGGTGAGCACCCAGGCAGAGAGCGCACACGAGCTGTGTGGCAACAAGATTGCTGTGACACCTGTGCGAGGAGATACAGACACCGTGATCAAATCACTGCTTGTCAAGGTCCGTCTGGGCTCTGAGGGCAACAGGAGGCCTTGGCGTGGCCCATTGGGTTCAAAAAGAGAGAAAGGCTGGAGGGCTGGGGGAGGGGGGCAAGGGGCAGATTAGCTCCTTCAGGCACAGGCAGGCCAGCACAGGGACAGCAGCCTGCCTGCCTGCCTGCCTTCCTTCCCCTTCTCAGACTGATGCACTTTTTATCTCCCACAGCCAGGAGGTGTCCTCATAGAGAAGACCCACAATGCCTTCCTCTGCAGTGAAGGTATGGAAAGATGGCCCCAATTACTCTGACTTGTGGGAGGGTCCTGGAGGATCTCACCTTCCACCAGGGTGCCAGAGCCTGCTCAGAGAGGAAGTGCAGGCAGCACCTTACCTTTCTGGCCAATGACCTGAAATGTCCTAGCTCCCCACAATGAGGGTACGGGAGGCTCCCTGTGGTACAAAGAGCATTCGGCCGAGACACCTGCCCGAGTCTGCATATCATGCTTAGACCCTGCTCCCCTCGCAGCCTGAGCAGCATCTTTCACACCCAGCTTCTGTGTCATTAATTCCTGGGCTGTTTCTTCCTCAGGGGATCCAGTTTCTGGTGATGTTTCCCTGCAGCTGCCCAGCCAAGTCCTGGAGGGATCTGGCGGAGCCACTGTCTCTGTTATCAGTGAGGTGCTCCTACCTGTGTCCTGGCTCCCAGGAGAAATCATAGAAACATCATAGAAAAGTAGGACTGGAAGTTTATCTAGTCCAACCCCTGTCTGAGGCAGGATCATCCCCATCCAAACTGTCCCATACAAATCCATAATCTAATCTCTTCATAAAACTACTGTCAACCCTGGCATAACACAAGACATAACACTCTAGCCTGCTACAGGTAAAGCAAGGGAATTATGGCAGCCAATGCCCTGCTTCTAGAAAAGTTTGTTAATATATGCTCAAGAGATCCCAGGTACAGGGCCACACTCCCCATTTCAGAGGAAAATAAAATCCCCCACAGTCCATATTAATCCAACCATGGGGTAAAATTCCTTCCTAGCCTCAAATATGGTGGTTGGTTGGTCCCTGAGCGGAGCAGCAAGTCCCTGTAATCAGGAACCTCCAGCTTTAAGTCTCAGTAGGAGCACTGGCACATGCCAGTCAGAAACCCCAGCTTTGGCTGCAGTCAACATCCCTCTGAGGGAGTAAAAAATCCCACACCTGATACATGTAGCAGAAAAGCAGGGGAGGATGGGCAGGATTCCCTTCCAGCCCCATGTGGCAACCAGCACATCCCAGAAACATGGAAAATACCTATAGTAGATCATAGGCATAGCTACACCTAGATCATCCCTCACCAATGGTTGTCCAACCTCTTCTTGAATGCCTTTGGTGATGGACAGTCCACAGCTTCCCTAGGCAGTCTGTGCCACTGCCTCACTGTTGTAACAGTGAAGAAGTTTTTCCAGATATCCAATCTCAACCTGCTTTACTGCAACTTCAAGCCATTGGTCCATGTCCTACTCTCTGCAGCAAAAGGAAAAAAGTATTCTCCCTCTTTACGGTAGCCCTTCAAGTATTTGAAGACTGCTATCATGTCCCTCTTAAGTGACCATTTCTCAAGCTGAACATGCCTAGCTCCTTCAGCCTCTCCTGCTTTCTGAGCTCTTTATCATCTTTGTTGCCCACCTGTGGACCCTCACTAGAGACTTCCCCTGCATTTTTGAACTCACCCGGCCCTAGTCCACAGCCTCCGGCCTGTGAGATACCATGTGGCTGAAACCAAAGCCCCTGAAATCTGTATCAAAATCAAAATCCTTCGCTTCCTCAGAGGAGGGCTGTCCAGGATGAAGCTGATCTCCAGCAGCTGTGAGGGAGAAAGCCAGTTTCTTGAACAAGGCCATTTCACAGGTCTCAACCTGAGGAAAGATTTAATGAAATTGAGCCAAAAGGCCCTTCCAGTGTTGTCCCAGTTTCAGTCTCATTGATCTCCGCCACCACTAACTTATCTCTGCCCCTTGACCTTACACCTGGAGGTAGCTGCATAGGGTTGCATTGCCCCTGAATCCTCAAGTTTAGCAAAGCCAGGCTGATCCTCCTCCTCAAAATAGCTCAAGACTTGCACTCATTCTCTTCCTCTTCTCTAAGCTCCCTGCAGAGTATGGGTTTCTAATTTTGTGGTGCCCATGGCTGCACTGTTCCAGAGGATGGTCACCCCAGAACCATAAAGAGAGAGAGATATTATCAGTGTCCTGTGCCACAGAGGACACCTTTTTGTCCAGAAGCCTGTCAGAGGTCAGAGAAGGCAGGAGTCATGCCAGGCAGTAAGACAGAGCTCAGAGGCATAACTAAGAATTTTGCATCCTGATCAGAGATACTGGAGAGTGGGGGTGAGGGGCACTGGAGAAGGAAGAGGGGCAGGAGAGAGGGGCTAGGGACAGTACTGAACACCAGGGGCGCCTATACACACTACGGGTTTTAATCCTCATTAAATTAAATAGGTTTATACAATTTAAACTTGTTTATTTTGGAGTGTTGCATCTGTGTTATACGCACTCCGTTTTCAAACAAATGAAACTAGGCCTCTGGCTGGCACTGCAGGACAGTGAGACAGTCCAGCGCTGCACCACCCCCCTGGTCCAGGGCCCCCCACCCTGTGCCCATGCCCCACCACACAGCTGTGGAAGCAGGGAGCTGGTAAACAAGAAAAAAAGAAAAAGCCACACAAGAAAAAAAAAGTGGAGGCAATTCAAAAACCAAAGCAACAACTCAAAGGGGTGATCTACAAAAAAGTCACAGCACCATCTGTTGGACAAAGCGGCTCATTACAAGTGTTTGAGTACCCGTGTTTTTGCATACTATGAATCCATGGCTGCAACACTTTAATTCCAGGCAAACCAAACAAAACTACGTCCAAGGAGTTTTAGTTTAATGCACAAGAAAGACTTCTAAAGCATCGGGAAACCCCGCTCATGCAAACAGACATGCAACTGCAGCTCATGAAAGGGCAAAAATCTCGGTGTGTACATAAGCCCCAGAGAATTTTACAGCATGCAGGCTCAAGCACCCTGAAGAGCACCAGTCTTGCTCCCTGTTTCACCTGGCATCTGGAGCTGGTGCCCTGCTTGCCCATCCCTAGTTGCAGTACTGGCTGTGCTCACATGCTCATTCTTCTTTCTCTACTTTCAGGGGATATCACGGGTTCAGTGTCGCAGAATTTAGATCAGCTGCTCCAGATGCCTGTTGGCTGTGGGGAGCAGAACATGGTCAAGTTTGTGCCAAACATCCTGGTGCTCCAGTACTTAGAGAAGATAAAACAAGTGACTCCAAAAATCAAACAACAGGCACTGGAACACATGCAGAGTGGTAAGCAGGGTCCTTCCGTGTTTTCTCCGCTAAAAGGAAGGTGTTCAATATCAGAAACAAAGGGCTCTGGCAGACATGTGAAATGAGTCCAAGACTGAGATACCAAGGGCCTATTGGCCAGAACAGAGAGGCATGGGCAGAGCATTACATCTGGGAGATCTGTGACAATGTGCATAGCCACAAAGATTAAGGCAACTATCTCAAGGATGATAAACCTATGCATTTTGGCATACAGGACTTACTCTCTGTATTTGTTGATTAGGGTCCTGATGCTGGAGTTGGGGAAAAGTGGGTAGGTAATTAGTAATTTGCATTCCACACAGTGGGGAATCAGTGTTTCCTCATCTGCTGGAGGCAGAAAGAAGTTGTCTGTGTAGTTGTGGTCTGTTGCTGTAAGTGGCAATTCTCTGGCCAAAATTACCATAAGGTACAGTTAGGAGGAATCCCATAATTTGGTATTTCTTTGTATTTCAGAGTGTGCCTTGGGGTAGGTATGTGTGTGCACATTGTCTGTGTCTGGCTGAGCTGCCTGTTGGAGGAGACCAGAGCTCAGTACTCACCTCTCTGTGCTGTGCTTCACACTGGCCTGTGCTTCATTGTCTGCTGGGTTAGGGCTGCAGAAATCTCTGAGAAGGGCTGTGAGGAAAGGAGGAGAGCTGGCCTAGGGCCACGAGTATGTTGGAGGTCAGAAAGAGGAGGGAGGGAGCAGAGGGAAGCCTTTATCATGTGGATGAAACTAAAATAGTCCAACAGTTTGCACCAGAGAATGCCAAGGCTAGCTTCAGTCCTTCTCAGTATTAGATTTACTCCTTAACAATCATTTCCTTTATCTCCAAAGCATGTAGCTGAAGGGGAGTTAAAGGCTGGGTTAGAGAACCACAAATGGGATGGTGTCATGTATGTTCCCTCTGGCCTAACAGACGCGAGACTTAATCAGAGCCCATACCTTATTCATAGCAATGTGCTAGTTAGGGTTTCCTCAAGGAGAAGCCAAATTAAATGTGAGGGGGGTGAAGCAAATAAGTTTGTCCTATGGTCACCTTGGTGAAGACTAGGGGCAGACTCACTGGCACTCTCCAGCAGTCTGTACCACTCTGGTGAAGCAAGGTGACCCCAGGGTATTGCTGGAGCAGGACAAGGCAGCTGAGCTGTCTCTGTGTATCTTGTGTAGCAGATCTAGGGATTCCACTGCAGGGATCTGATCCCAGGGGAATCATCGCAGACCGGACCATTCATTGTCTCTGTCTCCCCAGGTTACCAGCGCCAGCTGCTCTACAAGCATGACAATGGCTCCTACAGCGCCTTTGGGAAGCGTGATGCTGAGGGCAACATCTGGTGTGTGGGCCATACTAGTGCGCTCCATTCACTTTCTGGCCCTGGCAGAGCCAAGGCCAGAAGCTGCCTGCTTTTGGGGGCAGCCAGGATAGATATCCTTTGCTCTCTGCCTGCAGGCTGACGGCATTTGTGGCTCGGGCCTTTGGCCAGGTGAGGGCCTACATATATATTGACGACCAGCCCGTGAAGGACGCTGTGGATTGGCTGGGACAGAACCAGCTGCCCAGTGGCTGCTTTCGGAGTGTGGGGAAGCTCTTCAACAACCAGCTGAAGGTACAGACACCTTTCACTGTTCATGGAGCAAGGGGGACTAGAGCAAGGGAAAGAGATGCTGGGTCTCTTGCTGTCTCCACAGGCCCATGCCAGGGCTCTCTGTAGCCACAGGAAAGTACTCCCCAAGCCCAGACAGAGCCATGACAGCTGGGCTGAAAAATGTATTTTGCAATATCAGTGTCCTTTCAGCTACTGCCCTGTACCTTCTTAATGGATCATTTCTGAGAAGTGCCAAAGCAGCTTCATAGGGACTCCATTTTCATGGCCTCTTGGTGAATCCAGATCAAATATGCCTTGTTTACTAGTAAAAAGATGCTCCAATTACCAGCCCTCAAATCCTTGACTGGGCACTGAGGCAGTAGGCCCCACATACCCAGCCCTCTTCCACATGCATCAACCCCCTAAATTAGGGAGGAAGGACACCATGGGCCTCCCCAAGCTGCCAGGAAACCATGCTGAGTGCATGAATGGCGCATGCCCCTGGTGGCTGGGGGGACATGGCTGCGCCGGCGGTGGTGGGAGCCTGGCGGTGGTGACTGGGGACCTCCTGCAGACACTGCCAGCAGTGTCGGCAGCGGGGGCTGAGTGCCGACCATGGGTCAGTGACCACCCGCAGGCACTGCTGGCAGCATCAGCAACAGCCAGGGGCAATCATGGATTGCTCGCAGGTGCTGCCGACAGTGTCGGTGGTGCCTTTTTCAGGGGGTGCACTGCCACATGCAGGGGGTGCAAAAGCACCCGCATGCAACCCCTATGCATCGCCCTTGGCTGAGTGTGTTACCAGGTGCCCCCCAAAGATGTCCTCACTTCTTTCTTCTTGGTGTTAATGCACAAAAAAGCACCAAGCCAGTTGGACTGATCGTCTTGGAAGTGAGGCTGAGTCCTATGGCATCGTGCCATAAACCCACCCTCTAAGCCAATCTTCACCAACTCCTTTCTGGCTTTGGTGCAAGGAGCAGGAACACATGGGTGGGGTTTCTCTCCTCAGGCAGGCGACTGAATGCCCTGCCTCCACAGTGTCAAAGTACCCAGAGAGAGCTCAGTCTCCAAGGTCCTTCTCCCCAAATGCCCTCCAAAATAAAACAGGGCCTTCTGTCAGGGTAAGTCACCTGAACCTGATTTGCCTGAAATGACAGCTCTGCCCTCATGGCATAGGAGAAGGAGAAGACTGCTGAGGTGGCAGCATCTGCTTTTGCCTCACCTGATGGCTACTGCTTCCTCCTCTTCATCACATGAATAGCATTCCAGATCAGGGTGTGGCAGAAAGCCACCTTGGTTTCTCCCCAGAAATC